TTGAGCTTTGGCAGGCCACCAGGGGAAGCGAATCCCGGAGACTCTCCCGATGCAAGAAGAGCAAACAAAAGGAACAGGCAAGGAGGAGGCAAGCAGTGGGAACAAATACTTGTGACCTCTTACATGGATGAGACTGCAAAACAGGCAAATCTTTGGTCCTGTGTTGCTAAGGTGTTGTGGGTTTTTGGTTTTTTTTTTTGTTTGTTTGTTTGTTTTTTTTAAATCTGGGTTTGTAAAATAACTCATATTGGTATTAGCAGTTGGTAAAAGATTTTTCAAGCCAGACTATTGGCTGGAAAATGTAATTCTAGGCTAATAACAGTTATACTAGTAATCTTGCTTTTTCTTGCTGCTCTGTTTTGTGTCTTTCCAGCTGCCCTCAATAAGCAGCAACGAGCATTAGAATTGCTAACAGCTGGCCCTTGGAAAACAACTGTTAATTGCTTTAAATGCATAAAACTAGTAGCCTCACATTGAAAGCTTATGGTCAAGCCACAAGAAACCTCTTGGTAAAAAAAAAAAACTTATTTCTTTTTTAGGAAGAGACCAAGGAAAGACAAACCACTTCTTTAAAGAGAAAGCTTAATGAGTAGTCTTTCCCTCTATCATTAAATTTTAGATGCAAGCTACCCAAATCTGGCCTTGCTCTAAAGTTAGACTTGTAGCGTGCATTATGCGTATGCGGGACAGTTGCTCGTACTCCGGGTGGGGACCTCGAAAGGCAGAAACTGTCTAATTAGACACTGCTGATTACCTTCTGCGGTCCTGATGCTTGCGCAGGCGTAGAGGAGCTGCCCTAAGGTCTGAAGGACGCTTTAGCAGGATTTGCTCGTTTCAGCTGATTGGGGTAGCATGCGTGCATTTTGTCTTTCCCCCCCTCCCTGCTGCTGTTGGTTAAGGCGGATCCTCAAACCTCGGCACTCATTTGCTGCGCTACACGAAATAACCGGTGGGTGAGACAGGCCCCAGCCTCTTGACTGCAGGTAATGACTTCATCTTGGGAGCAGACCGACGTTGACATGCAAGCACCATTTGATGAGTGCGTGTGAAACTCCGTGAGGCTTCACCCCTTTTCAAAGGGTAAACCGAAGTTGTCGATACGCGTTAAAAAGCTAAGCAGTACCGTGAGCTAGCTCAGTGTGGTGTCAAGATGGCTCGCCTGTGTCTTAAACACCGCATGCAGGTCACGCCCGTCGTCTCTAAAAGGATACTGAAGAACTGGGAAAGGTTCAGAGAGGACAACCAGCATGACCAAAGACTTGGAAATATGGCTGCTGCAAGGAACTAGGCAGGCGCTGATGCTTCAGCCTCCGTAGGGGGTAGGTACCAATTCTTCTGTGCCTCTTCCCATGCAGGAACCTGGTTAATCAGACCTAATGAGCTGGGGCCACGTTCCCAGTGAACAGGTGGAGGTGGTTTTCCATGCCCTGGCTAAGGGATGGTGCAACCGCTAGGTAAGGGGTGCTGGGGATGCAAACCAGTTCTAGCTCAAGAGAGGAGAAATGCTTAAGGGAGAACTCCGTTGAGGGTTACTAAATAGATGGACCACATCAGGCTGAGAGCATCCTGAAAAGTGTTTGGAGGCTATTGGTGGTATTGTAGGCAGCTAAAAGAAAGCTTTGATGTGAGCTGCTACAGCTGTGTCCTTATGAGGCCTCCTGTGCTTCATTCTTGTTTTAGACGGGCCTTTCTTTCCATATCCTTCAGCTCAGGGCCTACGGAGTGCTGCTACAGGATTGCTCCGAAAAAGAAAATGAGTAAGTCCTCTCTACCTAGCCGGCAGAAAGCAACGATGAGGGCAGAAACAGATTCATGGAGCAAGACGATGCCATCCCTATTGGAAACAACTCTTGATTTGACTGCTTGGTAGATGCCAAAATCCTGGGCTCCTTTTAGCAGAAACTTCTTCGCCCTCAGCCCCGTGCTGACCAATACAAGCGAGCCTGCTACTAAACGTGCTAATAAACTTCTCATCGTCGTTCTCCACCGTCTGCCTTTCTAGAAATATCTGAGTAGTGCAAAAGACGACGAGGAAGCAGTGAATCTCGCTATAGAAAGAATCTGAATGCCTCTACGGCGTGTGAGGATTTGCCAAATCTCTAGAAGCTGCTGTTAAATCTCTGGCTAGATATGATGGACTTTTTGGATAAATAGGGCTTTAGCTAGATGCCTCCGCTAGAAGCTTGGATATCATTCCAGTGTTTCCTGCTAGTTGTAGGAGTTGTATTTCTGTTGGAAGATGACCAAAACGAGAGGAAAGGAAGGCTTATTTTTTTTGACGGATAGTTCCACTAAAAACTGGCCTTCCTCCTGCTCTGGCGCAGCAGCACTCGCAGTGCAGTTGGCTGTGTGGACACATCTGTGTCCACATCTGGGCAAGAAATGACTAAATTCACTGAATGCTGTTGGTTTGTTTTTTGGTTTGTTTTTGTTTTTTTTTTTTCTCCTGTGAGATGTGTCGTGGCTCAACAGTCTTCCCCCAAATGGGGCGTAACACCTGATGTTGGGATGTTTGCTCTGCAGAAGACATTGCTGAGGGAGTTGAAGCTGAGGTAACAGTTTAGGGAAGAAATCTTAACTCATGGATCGTGCTGCAACCTCCAGTTACCTCTTACGAATGAGGTAGTTTTAAGCCAGTTGAAAGTAACCCTGCTAAAGAATGTGGGTTAGAAGGGGATTTTGACCCCTGTTACGTCTTTGCCAGCACTCTGTAATTGCTGTTGTGAAAGCTTTCCAGCTAGGGGCGGCCAAAACCATCCATCTTAAAAGAAGGAAGATCACAGGCAGGCTAGGCTAGTGAGGAGATGATTCTTTATTTGAAGCCCGCATCTAAACAGGAAGGAAAAATTGCTTATGAAATGTCCCCAGTTCTAACTTAATTGTTGGGAACTACAGTGAACAAATGACTCGTTTATTTATGAGCTCCTAGAAAACAAAGAGCAGTCAGCATAGATCTGTCATGGCAAGACACATCCAGGCAGCTTTAATGTCTTTCTGGGATAGCTGAGAGCTCCTGCGTGCCAGAGAGGGGTGAGAGGTGATGTGCTTTGGGGTACAGCTGTTGAAACCGCCTGGGAAGATGCCTTTGGGATCCGCAAAGTTCAGATGGAAGCCCACAAAAGTAGAAGGGAGAGGAGGCTGCTTCAGGAACAGCACTTGATGAAGGTACCGTTGATCTGGAAGCATCTTCACCTGGACTTTGCAGGAGAAGACTAATGAAAGCACTGGCTACCAGCAAGGACTTGGATGATGAAAATCTGCTGTGAAATATAGCGGGTGACACCAGCAGGAGAGTGGGAGGTGCAAGGCTGGTTTAGAGTCGAAATAATCAATAGAAGCTAAAGCACCAGTCAGGGATAAAAGAGACGAGACCGAGCGAGTGTTAGCTGTGTGCGAGTGGAGGAGGACAGCCAGCCAGCTCCAGAAACGAGAATCTGGGTGGCTTACACTAAATTGAGCATCCAACACGAATCGCCGTGGTTCAGAAGCCAATGCCTCCAGCATGCCTATTCGGAAGCGTCAGGGAGGAGCTGGGGAAGCCATCGCTGCCTCGCCGGGGCCGGCGGGAACACAGGGCCCTGCTGCGAGCTCTGCCCGCCAGCAGCACCCTCCCTCCTCGGGGGAGCCGAGGGGCGCAGCGGGGCACGGTCCCGTGGGGCCCAGCTGCCCCGGCAGCAGGACCAGGGCGTTTCAGGCCCATTCTGGGAACTTTTACGCCAAAAATGTTACGCCAGCTCTGGAGCCCTCAGCACAAGGAGGACATGGACCTGTTGGAGCGGGGCCAGGGGAGGGCTACTAAAATGTTCCGAGGGCTGGAGCCCCTCTGCTGTGAGGCCAGGCTGGGAGAGTTGGGGGTGTTCAGCCTGGAGAAGAGAAGGCTGCGGGCAGAGCTGAGTGCGGCCGGTCAGGGCTTCAAGGGGGCCCAGAGGAAAGGGGGGGACAAGCTTTTTAGTAGGGCCAGCTGGGACAGGACAAGGGGGGATGGCTTTAAACTAAAACAGGGTAGGGTTAGACTGGATCTAAGGCAGAAATTCTTTCCAGTGAGGGTGGTGAAACCCTGGCAGGGGTTGCCCAGAGAGGGGGGGGAGGCCCCATCCCTGGGAACATTCCAGGCCAGGTTGGCCGGGGCTGTGAGCAACC